GGGGGGAGGATGGAGTCCCGAAGACAGAGCCAGCAGAGAGAGGTAGGTGGGGGTGGGGGGGCGGAGGACGGACGGCAGCACACATTCACATGTTAACGAGCGAGCGGATTCCCCACACTACATTTAGTCCTGCCTTCCCAAAGCAGGACTAAATGTAGAAGGCAACATACCGCCTGGCGCCCCGAACGGTATGTTCCGGCCGTTGAGGGACTCCACGCCGCTGCCGCCCCTCTGCGCCCTGCCGCCCCTCAGCACGGTCTCGGTGGCCTTGTGGGGAATCCGTGCCTGATCACAGCCACTGAGACATTGAGATAATGTCTCAGTGGCTTTGATTGGCGCTGCGGCGCTATTAGCTTCCTGGTGGGCTCGGCAAGTGGAGCTGCGAACACGCCCGAGCCCATCGCTATTAATTAATGCCCATTTCCCGCATTGAAGGAGTAGACCTGTCGCCAAATAAAGCTCGCGTCTGCATTTGGAACTGTCACACATGGCAGAGACTGTGCGCCTATTATTTGTGCAAGGCCCAATCTCTGCCCCAACTGGCGTCTGCCTATAATGACATTGCTGCAACTCTGAGTGCTGGTATGTATTATTTTTTTAGTTTTTGACCATAGATATCAGATAAAATAAAAAAAAGTCCAGTAAATGGGAATTCTGGGGGCACTGCCTGATCCGTACCACAGCCAATAGAGCACCAAGTTCGCACATCACTGAGCTCGGTCGCAGAATCGCCGCTGTCGTCACTTTCAGTGTCTGATGACGATTTCCCCCACTAATCGCTATCGCTCAATTCTGCAAGTGATTCTAATTCACTATCGCTGTTTGACCCAAAGGGACGCTTTTTGGATGCCATGGACGTTCTCAAGTTTCCAGGCAGAAAGAACAGTAAAAGTGTCAGGCAGGGCACTGGACAAAGCTCTAGGGACAACATTGAAGTGAAATGGTTTGATACATAAATGTAATCATAGCAGATTACATTGTATTGTGTGTATTCTGTGTATATTGCATGTTTTTGAATTTCCCACTGGCTCCGCCCACCGCTGTGACGCCGAAAACGAAACTTAAAGTCAGATGCCGGCATCTGCCGGCCGCGTACAGCGGAGGACACCGCGGGCTCGTAGGGACAAGGTAAGTGACACTTTTGTGCTATCCCGAGTGTGGCTCGGGGTTACCGCAATTGGTACTGAAAATGAACCCCCGAGCCACACTCAGGAATACCGCCAGGAAGGTTAAGTACAATGTAAAATACTCTCCACAATCATTATGTTATTTTCACCTTCAGTAACAACTGTGACAAGGACAACTTGAAACAGAAACTCCACCATGAAAGCATCACCTTGTCTTGACTCTACATGACTCTACAGAGGTGCCTCCGGTCCTTACACAAAGGAGCTTAGTACACGTGCTTTTAAGCACGCAGGAATTGTTTGTGTTTGGCACACTTTGGCACACTTTTAGCGCGGCAAGGATTTGTGCGCTTGACCCAAGCGAATTTCCATATCAACATATGGGGATTAGGAAATCCCGCTGTGTATCAGCTTTTTTGCTACATGTTTCAGCAATAGAAACATTTAGCAAAACGTTTCTTTGTTGAAACATTGTATCAGCCTTCTGATCGTCGTGGGAACGATCAGGAGTCTTTAGTGAGATCTGTTTCTGACATGTGGCAGGATCTGACATGCTGCGAGATCAGCATTTCAGAATCGGTCACTAAGGTTATTATTGGCTAAGTTCCTACGTTTTGAGAAGCCTAATAATAACCAAACATTTAAAAAAAATGAGGGCTGGTAATGATTAAAATTTTCGTGTTCGATTAATAGATTAATTTCGATTAATTATAACGCACATACAGATCCAACAACATTGGCCTATACACATACAGCACAGCAATGAAGTAATAAAATGAACTAGGATCACCCTAATCCAGCACGTTATTAATCTCACGTGCCCCACTCAATATGGCCGCCGCTTGAGTGGGGCAACTCAGAATAATAGCGTGCTGGATTAGTGTGATCCTAGTTCATTTTATTACTTCATTGCTGTGCTGTATGTGTATAGGCCAATGCCTTGGCTGGCGCTCGTGCAGAACAAGTTTCTTGGGCAAACTCACCAGCCCAAGTGGCTCCGTCGGCTAACGAAGGGGGGAGGAGTCCGGTGACGTCACGGACATCGACGTCGCCGGACTCCTTCCCCCTTCCCTCCGTTAGCCGTCACGGACATCGACGTCACCAGACTCCTCCCCCTTCCCTTCATTAGCCGACGGAGCCACTTGGGGAAGGGGGGAGGAGTCAGGTGACGTCGATGTCCATGACGTCACTGGATCGCCGACGGGACTCCAGGAAGCCGGCGGAGAAGTGAGTGTTTCCATTAGCGATCAGAATTATTTTGGTACAAGACAACAGAAGGGCAACAGTGCCGTGTCAGATTCCTCGCAATACCTTTCAACATCTCGTGGAGTCACGAGGCGGCCCAACAAAGTACTGATGGGGTGGTCATAATAATCTGGCCACTCAGTGTATATAGCCTTTTCCTGACCCTCCTCATGTCAGCCTACCCTTCTGGCTGACATGAGGAGGGGCCAGGAAAGGGAAATTACTGTAAGAATGATAACAATTTTCTGTAATCTGTTCTTTAAACAAAAAAGCATTTAACATATGCGGCCTCCCGTAGCAAGAATGTTATATGATTGATGTGGAAGAATCGCACAGCAACAATGTGTGTCAGTCATTACTGGGAAGAAACTAAAAAAACAAAACTTCAGTCATGCTTAGGAGGCGACAGCAGCGTTGGGAATGCATCACTTAAACCAAGAACCTCAGGGGAGACCCGAAGGCTCAACAAGGGGGGAGGAGATCCCGCCTAAGTGGGTTTTTTAAAGTTTTGGAATGGTAAAAATGTGGAATTTGCTTCCACAGATACTGTGGCTGTATCATGAGCGGCTTCAAAACACACTTGGCTGAGTTCCTGAAGTCATACACACATGATATATTGGTGGAACCTGATGAACTTGTGTCTTTATCTCACTTCACCTACTATGTAACTGCAACAACAAAGGATCAGAGGTCCCCCCCTCCCCCGCTCATGCAGAGAGTTATAAGAATGAATAGGTAAATTAAGTCATACACTCAGAAATATGTGGTGTGGGAGTTCGCTCCAAACGGTACCACATTAAGGACGCATCCACTCGCTTAAATCTTCATTTCCTTGCCCACTTTTATTAAACGAAAGTTCACCAAAACAAAGCAATCGCCCTCGCAGGGGTTCTTTAGTGTTTCTCGGCAGCACCTGCCCATCCAGCCTCCCGGCTTTACATTTGCAGCACCGCTGCTCCGGCCTCAGACCTCTGTCTGTTCCCCCAGACAGCCTCAGTCGTGTGCTCGCCTGCACACGGGGGGGGTTTTCTCAATCCGCAGCACCGTGCGGCGCTGGACTCCACACTGTCTCCTGGATGGAGCCCCGAACATGAGCCAGCATTCTTCTCATAAGGGCTGTGCACAGTTGTGCGGACCAATCGGCAAAGATGTCAAAACCACGTCCTGCAGACTCCTGGCTCCCTCCTCATAATGCCGGCAAAGGGAAGAGCTGCTGGATGAACACTGGACTGGAGAAGGAAGAAAGATCTCCAACATGGAACTCCGTCCACGGCACTGAAAAGATTAGTCATGAATAGCGTCCCTTTAGCCAAGACCCACCTTATACTGCCACCAATCCATACCGCCACCAATCCATACCCCCACCACCCTATACTGCAACCAATCCATACCACCACCAATCTATACTGCCACCTCTCTATACCACCACCACCCTATACTGCCACCAATCCATACAACCACCCTATACTGCAACCAATCCATACCACCACCAATCTATACTGCCACCTCTCTATACCACAACCACCCTATACCACCACCACCCTATACTGCCACCAATCCATACCACCACCACCCTATACTGCAACCAATCCATACCACCACCAATCTATACTGCAACCTCTCTATACCACAACCACCCTATACTGCCACCACCCTATACTGCCACCAATCCATACCACCAATCTATACTGCCACCAATCCATACCACCACCACCACCACCCTATACTGCCACCAATCCATACCACCACCACCCTATACTGCCACCAATCCATACCACCACCAATCTATACTGCCACCACTCTATACCACCACCACTCTATACTGCCACCACTCTATACTGCAACCAATCCATACTGCCACCAATCCATACCACCACCACCACCACTCTATACTGCAACCAATCCATACCACCACCATATACTCCCCCCACCCCACACCCCCACCCCCCTATACTGCCACCAACCTATACTGCCACCAATCCATACCACCACCAATCTATACTGCCACCACTCTATACTGCAACCAATCCATACTGCCACCATTCCATACCACCACCACCACCACTCTATACTGCCACCACTCCTTTCTGCCACCAATCCATACCACCACCACCACCACCACCACTCTATACTGCAACCAATCCATACCACCACCACCACTCTATACTGCCACCAATCCATACTACCACCACTCTATACTTCAACCAATCCATACCACTGCCAATCGATACCGCCACCACTCCATACTGCCACCAATCCATACCACCACCACTCTACACTGCCACCAATCCATACTTCCACCACTCTATACTGCCACCAATCCATACTACCACCACCACTCTACCCTGCCACCAATCCATACTACCACCACCACTCTACACTGCCACCAATCCATACTTCCACCACTCTATACTGCCACCAATCCATACTTCCACCACTCTATACTGCCACCAATCCATACTACCACCACCACTCTATACTGCCACCACTCCATACCACCAAACTCTATACTACTGTAATAATCCTCTGGATCGCAGCTGTGACAGCTAGCTCCGCCCAATTGTGTATGTTTTGCCGGCATCTGTCAAAATGCCATTATGCGGCCGGAGCGGATGGGACGGCGTTTTTTTAATTATTATTTATCTTTATTTTTAATTGTTTTATTTTTTATTTTGTTGTCGTCGTGGACAACACTGGACGCCGTGATTGATCCTGGATTACTCCGGTGGATCCATTTTTTGGGTTTTATTTTTTTTACATTTTTTGTTTTTACTTTTCCAAATAAAGGATTTTATCAAAAGTCTGGACTTTTCAATAACTATTTTATTTAACCTTTTAGTGAATGTGTAGGAGTACAAGTACCCCTTACTCATTCACAAGGGAGGGGGGCGGCATCTGGGTGCCCCCTTAATTAAAGGGGTACCCCGATGCAGATAAGTCCCCTTGCCCGCAGACCGCCCACAACCAGCGGGTCAGGGTTGTGGGGGCGAGGCCCTTGTCCCCATCGGCACGGGGACACCCTCCCAGTGCCAAGGGCATGTGGTCTGGGAGGGAGGGGCACTCGCTTGTGTGTCCCCCCCCCCTTTCCGGCCCTGCCAGGCCTGTGCTCGGATCAAGGGTCTGGTATGGAATTTTAGAAGGGAACCCATGTTTTTTTCCCCCCCCATTTTTGGGGGTGGGGTTCCTCCTTAAAATTCCTCCCAGATCTTAAGGGCCTGGTATGACTTTTAGGAGGAACCCTACACAGTTTTTTTTTTTATGGTCCCTCCTAACATTTCCACCAGACCTAAAGGGTCTGGTATTGTTTGGGGGGGAACTGCACACTTTAAAAATGTATTTTTTTTTTTTAGAAATGTCAGTCTACACATCGTACAGATCCGTCACTTCACAGGCAGGTTAAGGGGACCCCCCAGGCACCATATTTGAAGGAATTTTTCTTTTTAACCCTTTAAGTCATGTTAAAATCACTTCTCCTTTAAAAACGGTATCATTTTTTTTTGGCATTGATTCCTGTCCCCCGGGGCAGTACCCGGACCCCCATACACCATTTATGGCCAATAACTTGCATATAAGCCCTCTTAAAGGGGACATTAATTTTCAAACGTTCGACCCCCATTGACTTGCATTGAGTTTGAGTTCGTATTCGAACTTTTCGGCCGTTCGAATGTTCGAATACGAACCAAACCCATCACTAAATACCACCAGTATAACGGATTAATCCCTATAAGAGTCCCACTGTATTAATGGCATACAAGCGTCTCTAAGTAATCAGTACGGATAGGAATACGAGGTATACATTAAGCACATTTGGGGGGTATATGTGAGCTCTGATGAGAACAGCAGATAGAGGTAGCGGACTTCGTTAAAGGAGAACTATGGTGTCAGGGCTTTTCCTGATAGTTCTCCTTATGGTAACGGGAGGACACAAACTAGCGTCCTCCCGTCACCCTAAGCTCAGTATACTGCGAGCTGCAGCTCACTGTATACTGAGACGCCGCAGCCGGAGCGGATCCCGGCCACTGTGTCGGGATCCGCCCAGCTGCATGGCTGACAGCTGGCTCTACCTATCTAGAGGCAGAGCCAGCTGTACCCGCCCCCTCCCCCGTCCGTTCTGCCAGTCAGCGCTGGAGGATCGGAGCGGGTAGGGGGGAATCCAGTCCCTCCCCTGTCACGGCAGAGAGCCGTGACAGGATTGAGAAGTGAGCGAACGCCGGTATGTGTTCGCTCACCTCCCGATCTACTGAGCCGACCTGTGACAGTCTCATTGTCACAGGTCGGCTAGAACTATGAGATGAGTGAAAAGCGCTCACCTCATAGTTCTCCTTTAACATGCCTAGTATACTGACAACTGTGATAACAGGTGCTGGCACTAGGCGGCAGTGCACACAAGCTCCTAGGCAGAATACAGTGGAGAGCCTGTGTGACTCAGTACTTGCGGTTGTAGTGTAGCTGCTGGCAGTGGGGAAGAATGTCTCAGGAACTCCTGGTGTGCTGCAGTGGCGTAACCAGAGTTATGGGCGCCCGGGGCAGAACATTTTTTTTCACCCCCACAAATTTTATTTTTAAAAAATGTGTCACCTTACCTTAGCCTGGTGGTCAGTGGGGGCTTCCTGGACCCTGGTTGTGGGGGGGTCTGCCGTGGCCGCAGGTGCAGTGGCTCCTTCCCTCATGCACATGCACCCGGCTGGCCAGCCCGCCCGCATCAGACACAGCTCTGTCATCGGGCGGCTGCTCGCTCCTCCGAGGCCCCAGCGGGCGGCCCTCTACAGTGCCTGATTGGAGGGCCACATCTGCCTGATCCAGCCAGCCCTGATTGCCGCTATGCGATCAGTGCTGGCTGGATCAGGCAGACGCGCCCACCACCTAACCCCCCCAGTAAAAGTACATCCCTCCCCTCCGGGCAAGCGCCCCCCGGTTGTTACGCCACTGGTGTGCTGGTAGCAGTTTCCTGGAACAATGTAGAGAGTACATCGCCTGGATGGAGCTTGGACAGCATGGAGGGAGGAGCAATTGCTCAACGTTCAGTCTCCTTGATTGAAGCCGAGCAATCAGAGTTACAGTGATGTCATTGTAGAAAGACGGCAGGTGGGCCAGAGATTAGAGGTGCATTCCAGCAATCAGAGTTAC